CTCAGCTGGGTGGTAATTATGAACTTAACTCCTAACGGACTGACAACGGTGAGGGTCTGCTGCAACTGTGTGCGGAGCACCAGTTGTTTCTTAGTAGCACTAGTTTTAGACACAGTGGGTGCCCAAATGCCACTTGGCGTCCTCCTGTAGCTGGCCAGCGATGGACCCAAATTGACCACCTAGCCATAAGTTACAGATGGCGTGGTTCCATCCTGGATTGCCGCTCATACTGAAGTACCTGTGTCGACTCTGATCATGCCTTGGTACCCTGTCGCTTCTCCTTGAACTTTACCGGGAGGCGCACCAAGTGTCCCCTACGATTGACAACGGAGAAATTGTCTCAGTCCTCGGTCAGGCAAGCCTATCAAGAAGCACTGTATACCGAACTCTCGCTGCCTGGTCCTAATGACACAGCTTCGGTGGAATAGGATCTCGGCCGCCATGCACGACGCAGGAGCATCTGTTTGTGGCACTCTCCATCTTCACCGCACCAGTCACTGGATATCCGAGAGGTCGGAGAATCTGTTGGAATCTAGAATGCACCTCCCGGCTGGTTCTGAACATAAAGTGACAAGACGGGCTATTAGGCGTGAACTAAAGCAGAGCCTACGTGCTGACAAGGAAGTCTGGTGGACCAGTAGGGCTCAAGAAATGGAGGAGGCAGGAGCAATAGGCAATTACCGCAAGCTCTTCCAGCTAATCCGCACCACTGGTCCCAGAAAACCAGGCGTCAGTGAGACAATCAAAGACAGCGCGGGTGCGCTGATACACAATAAGGAGCGCCGTATGGCTCGTTGGGCTGGACACTTTCAAGATCAGTTCAGCTGGCCCCCAGCTTCTGGACCTCTTCCTACTCAGGTGATGCAGGACGTGCCATGGACGGTTAGTTTAGAGCCTCCGTCGGAGGCCGAAGTCCGAAACGCGATCACAGCCCTTAAGCGTTTTCGTGCCGCTGGCCCGGATTCCCTCCCAGCTGCACTATTTAAGGATGGAGGTGAGGTCCTCCGCACGGCACTGACCTCCCTATTCGAACGTATCTGGAACGAAGAGAGTGTGCCGGCTAATTGGAGCGAATCGATTATAGTGGCAATGTACAAAAGGGCAGTCGCACAGACTGTTCTAACCACAGGGGTATTATCCTAACGCCAGTTGTGACAAAATTACTGGCCTCGATTATCGTTCCTCGCCTCACTGCAGAACGGGAATCTCGGATTAGGGAAGAGCAGGCTGGTTTCCGCCCAGGACGTGGCTGTATAGACCATATATTCACTTTGCGGCAGGTGCTAGAGCAGCGCCACGCATACCACAGACCGACAATAGCTGTGTTCCTCGATTTCAAGAGTACGTTCTCTTCAATCAATCGCTCGCTTCTGTTCGAAATACTTGCGCGAAAAGGTGTTCCCACGATATATGTGAACATCCTTCGTGCTTTATACTCGAACAGTACAGGCCGCGTCAGGGTCTATGGTGTCCTACCGGATAGCTTTTCGACTACAAATGGCGTTCGTCAGGGTTGTCCGAATTCCCCATTTTTGTTCACTTTCGTAGTGGATTCTATCATGGAATGTTCCCTTGCGGAACCTCACGATGTAGGCGTTGAAGTCCTGCCTGGTGAAAGGTTAGTTGATCTAGATTATGCGGACGATATGGTCTTACTTTTCGACAATGTTGAGGCGGCACAATCAACCCTGAATAGCTTGTCCAGAGTGGTCCCATTATTTGGTATGCACTTCGCATCTTCGAAGTGCAAAGTGTTGCTGCAAGACCACCAGCCACTTGATGACCCCTTGACGCTTGCTAACGAGGAACTCGAGGTGGTTGATCTATTCACTTATCTTGGCAGCTGCATCAGCAATGATGGGCGCATAGAAACTGACGTCAGCTAACGCATTGCAAAAGCCAGAGCTGCCTTCTTGAACCTGCGTCATCTTTGGCGACAGAAGGGAGTTTCCCTCCGTTTGAAAGGCCGTGTATACAAGGCCACAGTGAGGGCCGTTCTGCTTTATGGTAGTGAAACTTGGCACCTTCGGTCTGAAGATCTGAGGCGCCTTCAAGTCTTTGATCATCGTTGTTTGCGAAGCATTGCTAGTGTCGGATGGCACCAGCATGTCCGCAACGATGATGTTCGTAGGCGAGTACTAGGTAGTGATAATCATGCTAGCTCCCTAGAACAGATAGCAATGAATAAGTTGCGTTGACTCGGGAACGTGCTACGTATGCCTGGTCACCGCTTACCTAGGAGGGCGTTGTTTAGTCTGCCAGGTGTAGGGTGGCGCAAAGCTCGAGGTGGACAGAAGTTGACTTAGCAGCGGGAAATGAAGTCACTGACGACCAAACTGGATGCCGTTGGTCCGTCTCGCCTTCCGGGTTGGAGTCCACGTGACTCACCTTGTGCTTGGCTCGAGACTTTACAGGACATGGCTCGCAACCGACACCAGTGGCGCGTCTGCTGCCGTCTTCTAATCGGATTGTCTGTTTAAACTCTGTTTGGTGCTGAGTTATCTGCGGGGTAATGGCTGATTATGACGCGTGGCAGTGAAAGCCGCAAGGAAGCTGTCTCGCCGATGCCGCCTTATCTTTGCACGATAGCCAGCTGTTTGTGGCGGTATGTTGTCTACACAAGGTGTAGGCGCCTTGACCCTGAATGTTTGTTTAGGGCATTAAGGTTTTCAGGTAAGTCCCCCTTCTCTCCCTCTTCTTATTCTTTATTTCATAGGTACTCATGGTTGTATGACAGCGAAGCATCAGTTCAAATGGCTGATGTACTGCTGTTGATGATGATGCCGGAAAACTGGATCACCACTGCCTCTTTGTCGTTGATGGACAGACACCACTTGATCCCAGCCGACACCAACTGTAGTGAGGAACGTCGATCCCTGGTCGGCCGTTGCGTTGGAGCTTACAGAAGGATAGTGAGACCCTCTGGTGTGAACGTGCCAGAGGCCTTGGACTTGCTAATCTCTCTGGTAATACCAGAAAACTGTTTCACCTCATCCGAGTCACCGAAGGCTTCCGATCAGGAGTAAGCGAAATAATCTGCAAAGATGGTGGCTCCGTAATCACTAATCTTCAACGATGGTTGGAGCGATGGGCCGAACATTTTCGCTCGCAGTTTTCCTGGCCACCAGCTCTATCTGTTTTCCCTGGGGTGCGCACTGGTGATGAGTGGACTATTCCAACTGATCCTCCCTCTCACCAGGAAATCTGTTGCCTAAAGCGTTATAAGGCACCCGGTCCTGATGGTCCACCTCCTGCTCTATTTAAAGATGAGGCTCTTCGCTGGTTCGAGAACTCACCGCTTTGTTCTCAAAAGTCTGGGCAAAAGAGGAGGTTCCATCATCCTAGAGTGAGTCGATAGTCGTCCCCATCTTCAAAAAGGGCCTGCGCACAAATTGCTCCAATTACAGGGGCATAAGTTTGGTTCCCGTCGTTTGCAAGATTCTGGTGTCCATCATTCTTTGCAGGCTAGCTCCAACACGTGAAGCACTACAGCGAGAAGAAGAGGCTGGGTTCCGCCGTGGTCGCGGATGCATCGATCAGATTTTCACACTCCGCCATGCGTATCAAAAGCCAACGATTGTTGTGTTCCTGGATATCCGTGCTGCCTTTGATGCTGTCGACAGGGTTGCATTGTGACACTGTCAGCTGAGGAATTGTATTCCCGGGAAGTTCGTTTCCATTCCGCGTGCTCTGTATAGTCTGACCTCGGGTAGAGTTAGGGCTCATTGCAAGTTTTCCCCCTCCTTTGTTGTCACCAGTGGGGTTCGATAAGGATGCCCTATCTCTCCATTTCTCTTCATCTTTGTCATTGAAGATGTCCTCAAATATGCTCTAGGAGAGTTGTTGAACGCTGGCGTTGAGCTCCTCCAAGGTAGTCGGGTGGATGAGTTGGAGTACGCTGATGATATCTTCTTGTTGAGTGACAGTCCCCAGGCCATCCAAATTGCACTTAACCGCCTGGCGATTGAAGCGTCGAAGTATGGTATGCACATTGCACCATCCAAGGACATTGCGCTTTTCAAAACTAGTATACGCCCCTACCTGCACCCACCATCGATGGGGAAAGGTTAGAAGTGGTACAGAGATTTGTCTACCTGGAAAACTGCATAACTGCTGGTGGGGCTGTTAGAAACGAGATTTCGATGCGTATCTCAAGAGCTCGTATCGCCATCTCCAAGCTGAGGCATTTATGGCACTGCCATGGCATCTCTCTCCATCTGAAAACAGGGTTTATAGTGCTACTGTCCGCACTGTACTCTTGTACGGTTCCGAGACTTGGCCTGCTCGTACCGAGGACCTACGCAGACGGTCCTCGAGAACCGTTGCTTGCATTCCATCGTCCGTTTGTGGTGGCTGAACCACGTAGTCAACATCGAAGTCAGACAGGGTGTCTTGGGTGGAGACGACCACACCCTCGAGGCCATTGCTGTGTCAACTACGAAAACTTTGACACGAACTGCGTATGCCCGTTCAGCGTCTTCCGCGTCGTGCCTTGTTCGCGGTCGCTATACAGTGTTGGAGGAGGTGGTGTGGTGAACAGCCTACGATTTGGAGAATAAGGATTAAAAAGCTGACAAAACAGCTGGCCAAAGTCTGTTTCTCCCAACTCCCTGGATGGGATCCCAAGGATGCTGAGTGCCGTTGGCTGGAAACCTTGGAAGTCATGGCTCGAAAGAGAACTCAGTGGAGGGCGTGTATCTCTGCTGTTAGTGGAAGAGTGGACAAAAAATTGTTTTCTCTCTTCTTTCATTCTAATCGTGTTTTTCTATCCCGGCATGGTTCCTATGGCACAATATCCGTACACAGATTGTGATCAATATATATATATATATATATATATATATATATATATATATGACGTGATAGTCAAATACATATATGGAAATAAAACAACGCTCTGCATATGGAAAAGTGCGGTCGCATGGAGCTCAGAAACGGAGTAAATGCAAAAGCTAGAAAAGGAGAAATATGTCTACGGGACAGGAGGAACAAGAACCTACCAGCAATAGCAGTTGTTTTGAAATAGGCGGACCAGGGAAGCTCTATGCGTCTCACTCTATAGTACCAGGAGAATAGCTCGCGTAAAGTCCAAGCGAATAGAAACTTTGAGCACATGTGCATAAGTGTGATCGAAAGTGGGTAAGGGAACATCTGTAAATGGTGCGAAATAAAGTGCATGCTTACCTTAATACACCGATTATTAAAAAAGGTCAGTGAAATTGAGAAAAAATAGAACAGAAGAATCAAAGGGATTGTCTTCAACATTGATGAATTTGATTGAGGATGAAAATGCATCAAGGTTCGGTGGAATGTTTGATTAACACAGCGAATATCAGGCTTCTACAGCTTCACTAAGCGTAAGTGGATCGATCTGGATAAAAGAGAACGTTAGATAAAGCAGAGTTAGGTTGAGAAAACCGGAGGGCGACAACAACGGACGTTGCACGAAAAATGAACTACAACCACCAGTCACCAAAATCAAAGTGAGAAGGAAGACTGATGTGTGAGCAACGTGATATTAAATTAGAGTCCGAATAGCTTGAGTGGCATAAAGGAAAGAATATTTTGAGGAAAATCATCAAAGTAAGGATCTAAAGAAAACGACAGATGTGCTTACAAGGGCCCGAAACCCATATATGCATTTTGTGATAGGACGAGTATACGCGGTGACTGATTTTTGTCCGATCTCAATCCGATGATTATCGGAATTCCGTCCAAAAAAGCTAAGGTGTAACGAAATTCGCACGGAAATCGGGCAGAAAAAATGGAGTTAAGCTTACACATAGTCCATGCCATTGATACCCTATCACCTATTTTATTGAATCCTACAACTGTGTGATCGCGTAAGTAATATTAGGTATAAAGAATCCCGTGAAGCTTCTTGAAATACCCCAAAACACCACCTTCTAAAGGTCATCATCATCATCATCATTGCACATTAGCTGAAGGTGAGGAACGGACTTCAACTATGGTTGCAATACAAAAAGAGCGAGAATATAAAAGGAAAACAGATGACACGCTGATTAGTAAAATATTATGCTTCAAAAGATCGTGGTTGGAGAGGGAAGATAAGCGGGATGGGGAGGGGCAAAGATACTCATAACGTAAACGTCACTGAGGTCGGCTCTTCGACAGATCAACTAGTTTATCCAGCCGGACGAGTTCATTGTCCTTGGGACCCCAGCCCGACAGTCAGGATACACTAACCGACGTCAGATTCGAAGTGCGCGAATTCATTCCCCTTGACCAAGCCATTACTTGGCCTTTTCCCTTCTTCTTCCAACCACGCACTCGGCGCGCAAACAAGACACGTCGCGGCAGTCGATATGTTGGCATGCGCAACATGTGGCCCAGCCATCGGAGCCCGGTGCGTGAAATAGCAGTGTTTAGTGGTTCACTCACTCTTTCTGCATAAAATACACGACGTTTAACACGCTCATTGCTCACACGATGTTCCCACCAGACATGAGCTAAGTTGCGAAGTCAGAAATGTGGAAACGTAACTAGTATTTTTATGTCTGTCGGCTTGATGGGCCAGGTTCCGCAACCGTACAGGAGAGTTGAACAGACGGATGCATTGCAAACCTTGCTCTATGGGGCGAGAGTAATGTCGCGCCAGCGCCACAGGTGGCGATTAGCAGAAGCGCCTCGAGCTTTTGCTATGCGGTTTGTGATCACATGTTCCATTCCACTGGTGCTGACACAGCTGCCTAGATATTTGAAGTTATCGACGATTTCTAGCTGAACACCACCGAGGATCAGCGCAGGGACAGGTCTGCCAATGTTGGGGTAGGACTTGGTATTTCGACGATGCAAAGCATGGCCCGAAACAACTGATGGCCAATGCTAATTTGTCCAGTGCCGCTTGACATGTTTGGGGGCTGTCAGAGATAAGAGTAATGTCGTCGGCGTACTCTAAATCAAGTCAAGCAAGTGAGAGTAGATCCACACCTTGCAGGTCGTGTCCAGCGAACGTAGTCACCATGATTTCGTCGGTGGAGTTAAACATACTGCTGATTTTGAAGTGTTGCGACAGCTTACTGTAAGCACTCACTCTGCCCGAGCAACGCGCATAAAGCGTTCAGGTGAATATGAACATATTACTCAGTCACACCTTTCGGTAGAAGACAGTTCCAAAGGGCACATCGATACACCGAATCGAAAGTACCTATGATGTCAAGGAACCCGACTACAGTGGGATGCCAGTATATGTAACGTAAAGTGAAGATGTGATCGATGCAGCTCCGACCTAGGAGAAACCCGGCTTGCTCCTCACGAAGCTGGCCTTCACGAGTGCGTCAGTCTGTGAAAGACGACAGGGGCAAACAAGTTGGAGGCAATGGGGATCAGACTGATTCTTCTATGATTGTCGCACTTAAAACGCGAGCCTTCCTTGAAGATCGGGACAATAACGAAGCTGCTCCAGTCGGTTGGGACAGTTTCCTATTCCCACAGTTTCACTAGTAACCCGAGTAAAACGTCAACAAGAGCAGAGCACGCGAATACGAAGATGGCTGGATGAAGATCGTTTGGTCTCGCGGTTTTATTTAACTTCAGCAGGCTGATCTCACGTTCGACTTCTAAGCGATAGGACGGGTCCAAAAGGACGACCCAGGGCGCCGAGCGATCAGTGGCCGGTGAGAAAGCTAACAATTCCTGACGATTAAATTACCTTTCAAAGTGCTCAGCCAAATGCACTAGGCGTTTTGACAAGCAGTGAGTAGGCTGTCCACTCTCGTCACAAAATTTAACTAACACCAGGTCTCCTGCTGCCCGTTTCTCGTATCAGACGAAATAACTTCCGATGGTTACCATTTCCATCTCCGACGCATGATAAGACCACCAGCATTTGCGGTCTCTTCAGGCTTGAATGCAGTTTTCCCTGGGGTTTTTGCGAGTCTTATTGCGTTCGCTTCCAGCCGGAATGTGCCCGCGAACATCGACAAGTTCCAAAGACAGCGAGGAAACCCGATGTCCATGTTGGATATTGGATTTACATGCGAATTTACCTGCTACTAGTAACGTCTGGTAAACATGCGACCAGTGACCTTCAACTGTATGCAGTGAGCGCTTGCGCAACGCGAATGTCAGCGTAATTCGGTTCCCATACAGTACATCTGGGTTCGCCAGTTGGGTAGTGTCTATGCGCTTACAGGGTCGTCATGTGCGTCCGTCAAAATACACTCGCAGATCAGGACATACAAGTGCATGGTCAGGGTCCACATATGTGCTCTAAATCGTGACAGTTTTGGACGCAGCCTCTCCAACCGTAACTGAGCGCAACATGACGGATTTGAGTCCAAGGTTGGTGGGCGCCATGTCACCCGCCGGTGAGTGCTGTGTCTAGTTAGTGCTCACAAAATAAGCGAGCATCTTCACACAAATAAGTAATCGCTCACCGTCATTGCGACGGAAGCCCACACGATATTGGCCGCCCAGATGTAGTGGAAAATTTCCCAACTTGAGCGTTCAGATTCACAGCCAGCACTACCGTGCCCGTGTATCTTCTATGGCGAAAATGTTCGTTCAGTTGGCGATAGAAGTCGTCTTTTACCCAGTCATCGCTAAAGTTTGTGGGAAAGTACGCAGCGATAACAACCAGAGACCTATTATCTCCGTGTGACTTCGAAGCTTTGAACGAGCCCGTCAGTCGGACTGCAAACACCCGGCCACTCATTGGGATCCAATCAACCAGAGCAGCCTCAGCCCGGGGACCCGGGATAATAACAACACCGGCATGGCCAGTACTCGAAGTTGCATAGTCTCCAGATGTGTGTAAGGAGAAAGTACTGCAGTGTCACCTAAAAGGGATCGCAGAGCTTGAGTCTCTCAGGTGAGTTTCCGACAGGCAGCAGATACCGATCGAGAGAGTGTCTAATGTTTGGGCAAGTGATGCTTGCTGATCGATCTGCAAAAATGTGTGTACGTTGAGGCATGTCAATATGGGGGAGAATCGAAGGCACCAAATAGAATCCGATGAACGGGGCTTGACAATTTGGTTACACATAGGCTTGCTGATAGGGCAGGAGTGACGCTCTGCGTTTGTATGTGAGTTGAAACTAGGAGATAAACGCCTCTGATAAGCATGGTGGGGGAGAGCCAAGAATTAAGCGGCTGGAAACGAGGGGGACAAAAGATGGAACGCGATACAGATTAAAAAGCAGCAGAGGGGGAATAAGAAGACGGGATGGCGCGAATATGGTTTACCCACCTACTGTCTGATAAACTGTAGCGAACCACAGGGACGGAAACGGGTTAAGCATATAACTACCAGACTCCTCACCAATTTATGGAGTATGTCGTCGGACGGACTAATTGAATAGCACCTTCGTTGCAGTTAACAGGAATTCGCCATTTTGCGGACCAGTCGTGGAGCTAGTCTAGCACTGTCTGTAGACAGTTAGAGTCCTCAAGGCTATATACGTCAAACGATAGCTTGATGCTGCATGTATAGAAAACGCAATCGGCTTGCAGAGCAGCTGAGGTCATTAATTGGTGCGATCCATCGATAAAGAACTTGACTAGCATTTACAGATTTACATATAATTAGGAGCAATGAAATCCATATGCTCGTTCACCAATATGATTTTTTCTTTAACCCATTCACTTTACTAATTTCGTTTAATTTCAACCACATCCTCAACCCCTTATATGCTGTACAGAACGCAAGATGGTTGGGTCAGGCCAGGTTCCACGGAGGAAATAGGCTCCCCTCTAATCATCGTCCTGTTTCATGTACCGGCAAGCATAAATGCGCCATCGGTACTTCGACGTTTGAGTTGCTTTCTTTGCTTTCGCAAAAGAAGTTAAGCAAGAACAAGAGAAACCTCTGTGTTTCCTTGAATCAAAGACCACGGAGTCTGTGATAGTTGCCGATAAAGTCACAAAAATTCTTGAAAAAGGATCTGGCTAAGATTTGTCCAAATCTATTTTGAAAGGTTCCACGGTGGCATTGCACACTAAGACAGAAGGCTTTTTCAAAATATGAACTACATGACTGGCAAAAAATTTGGTCCGTTTCTAATCTGATCCTTTGATTCTTAAGCTTAAGTTCATTTCTTTCCATATGGCAAAATGTAGCTAGTTCATACAGATCACAAGGCCTATTGCTACTGAGGCCATTTATAAGCTTAAGCAGTTCTATCAGACCGAATCTCAATCTGCACCGTTCTAGGGAAAGCAACTCCAGGCTACTAAGGGTTCAACATATAACTTCCCTCGCTGGTCCTCAAGTCCAAGAGGGGCCGGGATGATAGAAATATCCAGTCAACGTTCCCTCAATATCGGGTCGTTGAACCGGGAGTTAATGAAGGGATTGGAAATGCAACAACAACAACAACAACAACAACAACAACAACAACAAGAGAAGGAA